CAAAAAGTATTCATTATTACCGGAGAAACCAGCCTGCTCGGCGCCATTTTAAAAGCCTCTAAGTAAATAGATTTTCAGAGGAGAAAAAAAAAAGAAGCTAAAATCTTGATAAACAATTATTGTCCACGCAAACGGATCCACCTCTGGCTTTCTTCAGAAGAACGTGGAGTTGGCCACCAACCATGCTTTCTATCCCTGTTTTCTAGATAAGCGTGGAGAGAGGCATGTCTTGGGAGGAAGCAACTAAGCTTTGGAGTGAACAGCGCGGGCCAGAGGACGGGTTTTACTTATCGCTTCAGGTGAGGCTCCGCTTTGAAACTCTGGCTTAACGTCTAGCAACATTCTTCAACCGTGTCAGCTTGACAATGTTTAGGTTTCAACTCCGAGAATTCCCCCAGCTAACAGAATTTATCCAGGGTTCCGGTTATAAAATTTGCCCTTTTAGCCGAGTTTCGGCAGCGAACAGCCACACATTCTGTTGATCGCATTTTGTACAAAAAAGGACTTCGGCTTTTGCGCTCGGTCCGGATTTATTAAACGGGCAATTTAGGAGTAACCTCAACAGTATTTTCCAGGAGGTACAAACAGGAATTTGTCTTTCTATTTTCATTTTTTCTCCCCCAGATACGAAACAGTAAGAAAACCGCCATCCTCATGAAAGAGGTGAACCCCAAAAAGAAGCTCTTCCTGGTTTATAGGCCAAATACCGGGAAACAGTTGAAACTGGAAACCTACTCTGAAATCAAGAAAAAATATAAAAAAGTGAGCCTCCTTTATAAAGTTACCTTTTTCATCCTGTGTGTGTAACTTTTGCTTGATTGCAGATTTAATTTGCGTCTTTAAAGGCTTGAGAAAGCTCAACTCATTGCTCCCGAATAGGTTATTGGCCAGATATGACTGTGAATAACTGCTGTGCGTAATTCTAGGTGTCCTCTGACGATGCTGTGACTCACTGGGTAGAACAGTACACCTCGTCGGCGGACACATGCACACATGCTTACTGGTAAGTTATTTTTTGGGGTGGGGTAGTGTGTGTCCTCAAAACAGGGGGGCTGCTCTCAAAAATGAACTCCAGTGGGACTTCCCAATCAAAACCAAACGGAAAGGTTGAACTCAGGGTTTGAACTGCGGGGGTCCTTGATGCTCTCTGAGCTTGGTAGTTGTCTTGCAGACGTCTCACGGCCCAACTAGGTCACATCGTCAGTGCTGGAAGGGAAGAGGAGGTTGCAGAGTGGAGAAGAAGGGTTGTAGGGTCCTCGGTGCTCCCTGAGCTTGGTTATTTTCTTGCAGACGTTCCACGACCCATCTAGGGAACGTCATCAGTGCTGGAAGAGGGAGTAAGGTTTGCTCTCTGTTTATATACATATCAGTGTTGGTGGGAGGGTTCTTGGTTATTCCTTGGTTAACCTGTTGTTGACTGAGGTGGGGGGGGTAGTTCCTTGATTGGGATATAAACAGAAGGCAACTTCTAGCACTGATGATGTTACTTAGTTGAGTCAGGAAACGTTTGCAAGAAAATAACCAAGATCAGAGAGTACCAAGGACCCCATAGTCTTCCTTCCCTCCCTCCCTCCCTCCCTCCCTTCCTTCCTTGATGATGTTACCTAGTTGGGTCATGAAATATCTGCAAGAAAACCCATCAAGATCAGAGAGCACCAAGGACCCCACAGTCTTCCCTCCCTCCCTCCCTCCTTCCTTCCTTTCTTCCTTGATGATGTTACCTAGTTGGGTCATGAAATGTCTGCAAGAAAACCCACCAAGATCAGAGAGCACCAAGGACCCCACAGTCTTCCCTCCCTCCTTCCTTCCTTCCTTCTTTCCTTCCGTCCTTCCTTCTTTCCTTCCTTCCATCCTTCCTTCCTTCCTTCCTTCCTTCCTTCCTTCCTTCCTTCCTTGATGATGTTACCTAGTTGGGTCATGAAATGTCTGCAAGAAAACCCACCAAGATCAGAGAGCACCAAGAACCCCACAGTCTTCCTTCCTTCCTTCCTTCCTTCCTTCCTTCCTTCCTTCCTTGATGATGTTACCTAGTTGGGTCATGAAATGTCTGCAAGAAAACCCACCAAGATCAGAGAGCACCAAGAACCCCACAGTCTTCCTTCCTTCCTTCCTTCCTTCCTTCCTTCCTTCCTTCCTTGATGATGTTACCTAGTTGGGTCATGAAATGTCTGCAAGAAAACAAACAAGCATCAAGAGAGCATCAAGGACCCCACAGTCTTCCTTCCTTCCTTCCTTCCTTCCTTCCTTCCTTCCTTCCTTGATGATGTTACCTAGTTGGGTCACGAAATATCTGCAAGAAAAC